ACCATAAGCATACAAATAATATAAGTTTAACACAAAAATAACTTATTCGAATCAGTTTCACAAACTGCACATACAAATCACGTCCGTTCAAAAATGTTCAAGGTTAGCGAGAGTGTGTTTAATCAAATTTACATGAAACTGTTGAATTTATTAACATCATATATAGTGTTTCGTTCTCATAGACCAACTTTCTAGTAAACTGAACGAACCACTGGAAGTGAAAGATAATTGTAAATCAGTATTATCCTTATTTGTTTGTTCTTGAAAAGTTTCATAAATGTATAGAAACGAATATAACATCGGGAGATGACGACTAAGCGTTTGTACCATATAATAAGTATAATAATAAAAAAGTTCATAATAAATATACATTTCTCTAACTAAATGGCGCAAATTAACATAACATAAATATCTGTTTATGTACTGTACGCATACAATAATAATTTAAATGTAACGTTACTCATTTAGAAGAAAATGCATCGCATCGATAGAGGCAAATCGAATCTCAGCGAATAAGAATTATTTTTGTCATGTGACATGTCAGATATGTTGTCCGAAGATATGAAAGAATTTTGGCTGGGTAAATAAGATTTTCATATTTGAAAGAACAACTTTTCTTCTATAGTTCGAAGTCTAGAATCATACTTAATTAAACTTTAACTATAGCAAAGGAAGAAAAAAGGCAAAAAAAAAGAGCAACGATTATTTATAATAAACTAAATTTCTGAACCAATCGTTCATTTGTGTGTATCGTGTAAAATATAATATCAAAGCAAATAACAACATAACCTAAAATTAAATTTTATACATTTACGAAACGCAAAATAATTGGTTAAGAAATATACGATGGGATAGCTAAAGGACATAGTAGATAACAATAAGATAGATGTCAAGGACAATCAAAGACAATTGCTGTTTGAACGCAAGAAACTTTGGCATAATACAACAAATATCCAAAATGTTACTTCATACAGAGCAAGTGAATATCAGTGTGCAATATGAAAAGGCGATACACGGAATATTTACATTTCTATGCTTGAGCAACGATACACCGTTTTTGGTATATTTTTTTTATAAAGAAAAGTACAGCACGGAGGCGAAAAAAAGTGAGCCAGTGCTAGTGCTAGTTCTAGTTCTTGTACTAGATCAACAGCTAGATCTAGTTCTAATTCTAAAATTTGATATAGATATATATAAAAATGGCCGGACTTTGCACTTACAAATTTAGAAATGAGGTTAGCGTAATTTCCTAAATCATGACAGATCAACAGTAGATCAATGCACGGAAAAATAAACCGAGTTTAGTTTTTATGGAAAAGAAATTTTGTCAAACGAAAGTTGCAGAACTTGTGCGCCCGATTGACCGACTAAAATTATAAGGGTGCTAAATAATAATAAAATGTTGCTAGCCAATCAGCATGCAATGCTCTTATATGGAGGTACATGTAATATAAGCGTTCTTTAGAATTATGTTCTTGTTCCTTTATAGATTGTTCTTTTATAAAGGGAAATTTACTAATAAATTGCATCGGAGGGTCGACTGTATTTAGCAATAAAGCTCGACAATCACCTGATCAAATTTTTGCTGTAAGGGCACCTTTCTCATGATATATCGCCCAATAAGAGTCAAGAGCACACTCCCTGTAACTGTGTCTCTCCAGACTGCATAATCGATTGGCCACTTTTCCTGGCTTCTCGCAGTTGAATATGATTTATCGGCAAGAATCGAATGATTTGTTTAATCCGAGTGTTCCAATAGATTCCTGCGCATCATCATCTTTAATTCCTTCACTGTCTCTAATAACTCGTTGGATGGGATTTTATTCAGCAGATATTCAGCACCGTATAACCGAAGTGTCTTCTTTCCAACAAATGTCAATCGTTCGTTTGTGGAAACGCTTCCGTGTTTATAACTCTTATGAGTTAATACTTGTTGAAATGTTCGTTGCTTGTTAAAATTTATACAAATTCTACCAAGAATCTCATTGTACTCGTCTGCATGCATGAAAGTAGCTTTAGCGGTTATCTGTAGGTAACGACCGACCGGTGTATTTTTTACGTGAGGAAGTGTGATTATTGGTGTAATTTCCTTCAATGTCCTGCTTGCTTACAACCCTCCCGATATTGAATACTGTAGCCCAGTTAGGACCTTGCAATTGATGAGTAATGTTGTCAACTGCATCCGTTGGGACTATAATAACCATGCCAATTCCACAGTTAAATGTTCTGAGCAGAATGCAAATTACGCAAAAATACAGGAAGCATTACAAGATGTCAAATAATATAAATAACAAAATAGCAAAAGCAAATCTGTTAAGTATAACTCTCACTTAAACACTCACCTAGTTGAATATTACCAACACGCGCAAGCCATTTAAAAACTGTGGAAACTTTCCATTGTCTTGCATCAATCACGACGCCAACTTCATCGGGCAGAATCCTTGGGATGTTATCATAAAATCCACTGCCGGTGATGTGAGATAAACCTTTAACTGTAGCTCCCTTCACAATATTCATAACCTGCTTGACGTATATTCTGGTTGGTACAAGCAATGCCTGACCAAGAGTAATTGACGTATCCACGGCACGGACAAGGCGAGGCACGTAGTGAAATAGTTGTTCACTATTAAGTGTATTTCAATGCTGGCGACTTTCAGGCCCAAGGTAGCTACAGCCAGTCCATCCGAAGAGTCTCTTGAGAAAACTGTCGACTTCTTATGCTTGATCTTATTTAAAGTGGTATAAGTCTTCTTCTTCTTACATTTCTTTGCGCTACCGAGAAGACAAGGAGCCAAATGAAGCGTCGAATTTTTTTCAATATCGTATTCGGTAAATGTTCGATCCTCTATTGGCGGTTTGCGTGAATAAATTTTGGCCAATTCTTTATTTCACCTCTGGCTTTGTCATGTTGTAGCAGGATGTCGTAGCTTGGAAATAAAGTCGTATGAATATCGTATTGTTCAATCAATTCAGAGTAAATTGATGCTCGTTTATTGATAAGATAAGGAGGGTATCGATGCTAAGTCTACACTATGCTGCTTATATATCTTTTCGGACTACAAATTGGTTTATTTTCAGCATCGCAATCAGCATTATTATCTAATTACTAATTTCCCGCTATACGTACTGCAGTCGTGCAAATATGTCATCGTTAGTCAGTTCCTATACAATCACATTGACGTTGTGTTTGCTGTAATTAGATATTTCGAACAGTCAACAAAAAAAATTATTATTGCATATAAAAATTAAACTGCGCAATACTTTTTTTTGTCCCTTAACATAAAAAGTGTGATCAACGTCAACAAAGCCCTCCCTGACTGTACTACTGCTTGTCCTTACGATCGAAATTCAAACGTGTGATCTCATTGTTGCGTTTACTTTACAATATCCAGGTAACTGTATGCAGGTGTGGGTAAATAAACAGTCACATGCATATTAAATAGCAATAGAA